TACAATTTATTGCAAGTCTAATAACAGAAATGGCAGTAATAATAGTAGTTATGATAGTGATAATGATATTAATGGTTGTGGTAATGTAATAAAGATACTAACTTTTTTCTGCTGGCAGTAATAATAACAGTTATAAAAATGACTACATAACATAATCTATTAGAAGTGATACAATTTTGGGGAGCAGACTGCCAGTATCAAATGTAAATAGGCATACAAATAACAAGCAGAAGAAGACAAGAAGACAGATTCATGGCAAAGACCACTTATTACCAATGAACCATTATCTCAAGCCTTGTTCCAGGACTTACTGATTGGTGTCACATCAGCCAAGATGAAGTATCCTCCCTCAGGAATGATAGGATAAAGTCCAGCATCCTCCAGAATCTTCACAACATTATCCCGTTTTACCTCTAACTCAGCTGGTAGAGACTTGAAGTAACACTCAGGTGTCCCAAACCGTTCGATCTCAATTTCAAAGCCTTGTGCAACTGCCTCCTGCCATAGTCATTAAACATAATCATCCAAGTTTATGAACAACCAATATCCTACATGAATGAAAATCCACATTTTGTGATTGTGCTCACATAAATACGGAAAGCATTCTCTAAATGCAAATACATGTGTGGTCTTCAAAACAGTATAATAATAAATTCACAATCATAAGAACAGAAAAAGGACAAATATGAATGAACATCCCACATTATATCATATGATCAAATTCAGCTGCACACTTACACGAGTTACCGATTTCTGTTTTCACTGCCAGATTTTAATCAAGAAAATAAAGTTGTCAAGACTATTGAATTTCTCTCCAATAATATTTTTTCATCAAAGTTGAAGATGATATGCTTGTAACACATTCTTTACCTGGACAGGTGTTGTGCATGTGTACACAGAGTGCTGGTGGATCACCTGTGGCCCTTTCATGAGTTCTGCAGGCCCATATGCCCAACCGGTCTTCCATCCTGTTACAGAAAAGGTCTTCCCTGCTGAGCCAATGGTTATGGTGCGCTCCCACATGCCAGGCAATGTAGCTAAGAGGGAAGAGGCTAAAGGTTACAATTCTATAGAAGCCAGAGATATATTGCTTTTATATGTCTAATATTTTGGCAACCACTTGATTGTCCATGAAGGGGACCATCTAAATACCTACAAAATCATTAATGTAAATTGAAGAGTTTCTGAGGTATCTTTATTTCAAAAGTAAATAAATAAAAGATTTACCTATCAGGCAAACATGAAGCAATGTGCATTAATTTATGGGTGTATATGCTTTTTCAGGTAAGGTAGATTTTTCAGTGCCAAACTGCATGCAATTGAGCACATATCCTTTTGGAGAAAAATGTATGAAAGCAGCAGAAGAGAAAAAGTCAAATCTTCATTAAGAGAATGTTCCCAAAAGTCAAACTTGCTTAACCACATACCACTGGGGAAAATTATTTTTAAAAATGGGGAAAATGCTGTGCTCATTTTTTTATATTTTTGTGAATGTCTCTGATCACAGATGGCTCTGCTCTGCTAGTGCTTAGCCTCAAGGGAGTCATTAAGTAGACCTATCCATTTATTCCACTGCAGGACCTAGGGCTCTCCCAATTTATTATTGAGGGGTCATTTGGCAGTATCTCCCTTAATCGATTGGATGACCTTCCTAATCAACTGTGGTTCAGCATGCTTACGTCACGGTGGTGACTTCCCCTATGACACCTACATTTGAATTCTCAAGGTGATATGTTGTTTTCTTGGATTCAGAGCGCAGGCATTTTTTACAACTGCAATGGTGGGGAATTGAACTTGAGACCACAAGGGTCACAGTCCAGTGCTCTATCCACTGGACCAGTGAGAGAGAGAGAAAGAGATGGAGAGAGCGAGATAGATATGTCGTGATCAGATTTGCGGACGGACTGACACGCATGAACAACCATATATATAGAATAGTTAAAAGTAGCGGAACAAAACCAGATCACTGCAAAAGGCGTGATAACCAGGGTGCACGAAAAACGACCAAGATTTAACTGTGACAATGGTGTTAACTAAGCCACAAGTACTTGAGCAGGAAAAAAACTAGTGAACTAGGTAGTGGCTAATTACCGCGAAGGTGAGGATGCGCACCTGGGGGTAGCCCGCCAGAGAGACACACTCGAGACAGAGAGAGGGCAGGCTGGGGTTCGCCAAGGCAACACGCTGTTGCCTTTTGTGTTTTTTTTGTGTACTTTACTGAACTTTTGTAACGGACTCCTTTCGACAGCGGATTGCAACAGTGACCTGTGATCTGATATGAAAAGGTAACGCTAATTATATTGGTTTGTGTATATGTATGCTGTCACTCTCCCAGTAAAACACCAGAACTCGCCCTTTTTATTTTCTTTTTCCGATTTTACCTTGTCTTTTTAATTTTATCAAATAAGCAAAAGAATTGTGGAAGAGAGGAACATTATTTTAGAGAATAAGTAATGGCCCAAACAGTGTTTTCCCTCATGGTAAAGATGTTAACGTGATT